GTAACAAATAAATAGTGGGCTGTAGCCCCCGCCAGAAACCCAAATAAATTTCACTAAATTCCCTGCTACTCAATCAATTTTTTTCCTCTTATTATGTGTATTTTATGAAAGGGATCAAAAAATCACCCACTAGCAAAAAACATAAATACAGTATCATATGTGTAACTGTTTTATAAAACACTCTTGTGCTGCAGAACTCTTGGAGACCCTGGGTTCCTCTCTGTTCTTCTGCAAGAACAATTTGCAGTCTGGGATTGTCACACCGTACTTGATAACAAGGATAGATTTCAGCTGGTGATGATCCTGTGGTGCAAGCTTCTTTCATCCTCCTAGGCGTGCTGCAAATCCTTCCCTTCTCTGTCTACCACCTTGTTAGCTGCTTCAGTTTTGGTGTTCAGCTGTTAGCCAGAAAGTAGAAAGTTTAACTCAGTCTTTCTGCTTAATAGCTAAAAGGTGTTTCAATGAATCTCCTGTTTTCAGCCTTTTTTTCATCTGTGCCATCTGCATCTTGGTTCTGAAACCTATGGTTGAGATGACAGATTAAAATTGTTCCCTCTAGTGACATAGAAGCCCAGTCAACCCACTACATTTTTCTTCCACTTTATGAAATGCTTTATTCTTTCCAGAAATACCTTTATAGTGGAAGAAAATAAATGTTTCACACCTGCCTGCACGTCCATTTTATTGGTCTAATTTTGACCATGTGTCAACAGGACAAGTCTGTTTTGGCCTATTCCCCAGCACTTGATGGCTTTCACAATAGTAGAAGAGTTAATGTGTGTGGCTGCTTTAGTGGTAAATCTCTGTCACAACTTATACATTATACCATCCCTTCTTTCAGAGTTCTTGATTGTATTACTTTTCCAAGTTCTTATCTGAACACGAAGCCTTCTGTAATTGTTCTTCAAATTGTTCTTCAAATATAGACTTTGTGGTATCATTTGATGCTACAAAGTGGTATCATGAGCTGTTTCTAATTAATTATATTCAAATTAATTTTTGAGAATTTATGACCTCTTACCTAGTTTTGTTTAAGTTTAGGACTCTTATTATCTTGAGTACTTCGGTTTCATACCATTACTGTACTACTGACTACTTCAGTAGTCAGGAAAAACTGTGATGTCAGATATTTTAGGTAAGAGAACCCAGACTAATAATCACATGCAGTTATCAGTGTTTTAAGAGTATTTTCAGAGTTCATTTTTGGCCACTCTGCTTTTTGTGTTTGTTTTGTTTTATTGATTCTATGCATGACTAAATATTTAAACTCCCCTATGGTTGTTCCCTAAGTTGTTTTTCTTTTGCTACTAGCTCAATATCTTATTTAGTCAACAGATGAAATATCATTGATACTTCTATTAAATGATCTGAAAATATTTAAATTTTAATTCAAAGGTAAAGAAAGATAAATGGTTAGGCTGGTATTTGTCACGTTGCATACCTTGGTTTCCTTTGAAACTTCAATGCAGTTTACTCATTTTTCCTCTTCTTCTTCAGAGAATTTCTGGATATATTAATTTTTGCAGCCTGATTGCTTTCTACCATGAATAAAAAATGTTTTCCAAAATATCAGGGAAAGCAATGCATTTATGAAGGGGCAAAACGCATAAAACATAATAAATCCTTTTTGTTAGAGGATGGATGACCCAGACTGACATTGAAGGAGCATCATAGCTGGAAAATTTGAAAAGAAATGACCACTTCTTTCATGTTATTGATTTATGGAAAAGTTATTTTATTAGAAATTTTTCTGCAGACAATTGCTGATATTCTTTGGGCAGAAATCTGCTGTTTGCTTTCTGTTTGTTTTATGTAGGTCCATAAAACACAACAAAATTAGAAGATTTAGCTCATTTTAAAGTTGGGAAAAAGGCACTATTCTCTCCTGATTTATGTTTTTACAGGCCACAGTACTTCCAGGGGCTGCAGTACTTAAACGTTCCACGGATAGTATATGGTTTCCTGTAAATCTGCAAACTGAACTGAGGTCATTTTGCACCTGAACTTTTCCATGCATGTCAGCAGATTGCTGTAGTTTCCTTAAGACAAAAGAAAAAGCAGAGCAGCTGAAAATAATTAATATTGAACTTGACACATCAAAAATGTAATTTGTCACTTGTGATTAAAGCTTTTATCTTTAGTTCTATTTTTATATCCATCATGGGTCTCCCTTAGCTATCATTAGGCTCCACATGGTTGGAGTTAGTCTGACCTTTGATCCACCACTATAGACAAAGGGATCTTTAGCTGCTAAATTGGAGCCCGAGCTAGTCAGCAACAGCATAGATCAACAAAAGTAAGCTTGGCTAATAAAATAATGATCAGCTTAGCTACTCTGATTAAAAATTTTTAAGCCTGTGTGGCTAATACAGATGCTGATCTGCAAAAGAAAGATGCATTCATAACAGAATTAAACATCAAGGATTCACATAGTGGTAATTTGATCTGATGTGAAAATTTAAGATGGTGGGAGCGTTATTTGTTTTCAGTATATGCATATGCTAATAAGTTGAGAAAAGAGTAATAATTTTACAAACAGTCTATTTTTTTACTTTCTCTGAAGCCATCTAGTTTTTTCTGACTGCTACTGATACTGTGGTTACTAATTTTTTAAACACTGAAATGTTTGACACATCCCTGTCCCATCACATCATTGACTTAGCATCACATATCCCCTGTGATGATCATTGTAAGCCCCATTCTCTCATACCGTGTACAAACTGAACAAAGCATAGAATATGATAAATGAGTGTTTCCATTATCATGTCTTTTTCTCCATACAGGTATGTATAGCTGGAAGTCACTAGTATTTTTCTGGGTGGTGTTTTTTCAGAAGCAACCATTATTTAACTTACACTTTTGTTACAGAGAAGCTGAGACTACAGTAGGAAGTCACATTGCCAGTTGTTTAATTTCAGTACCTCAGTTAAACCTAGACTAAATTTTTTGTGGTGCAATTTACTGTGAATGTGATGACAAACTCTATTTCATAACCCTGTGAGCTTGTGACTGAAAATGTCCTACCACTTTCCACAACAATAAAATCATAAGCGAAGTCTTAGCTTGCTCTTTTAAGTGCAAATCCCTTGTGAATAGAGTGAAGGCTATTAAATTTGTAGTCCCACTATTAAGTATTTTTATGGTAACAGTTTCATTATTCTAAGGTGATTAACAGGCTTCCTCTTTTTCTGCAAGTAATTGCGAGTTAGTCATTATTTTAGGTATCTACATTTTCATTATCAACATCTGATCATAAATAACTTGCAGTTTCTGATGATACAAACAATAGTTAGCAGAGAGTTATTATCCAGAAGACCAAATTCCCCTCTTAGACTTTTTTCAGCAAATGCCTCCATGCATGAAGCAGTACTTAATACAGAAATGTTAACCACAGAATTATAGAATGGTTTGGGTTGGAAGGGACCTTAAAGTCCTCCCAATTCCAACCCCCAGCCATGTGCAGGGCTGCCCCCCCACCTCGACTGCCCATCCAACCTGACCTTGACTGCCTGCAGGGATGGGGCACCACAGCTTCTCACTGCTCTCTGAAGGAAAAATTTCCTCCCAAAAGCTAATCTAAGTCTCCCTTATTTTAGTTCAAATCCATCCCCTCTTCAGATCATGGTCTTCACTATCAGACTATGTAAAAAGTTGATCTCCCTCTTGCTTGTAAGCTCCATTTAAGTACTGGAAGGCCACAATGAGGTCTCCCAGGAACCTTCTCTTTTTTGATGACTAAATGTTTGAATCTTAGCATTGGAAGACTGAAAGCAATGAAGTGGCATTGTGTTCCCTTGATGTGTTTTGACACAGGTATTATTTTCAGAGCAGGCGCCCATGCATTTAAGCTACATAGCTTGTCCTTTGCCATGACATATGTCTGTTCAGCTGTGGTGATCTTAGATCCCACTGAGACATCACCATGAATTGGACATTGGGCTCTATCACCAATTTTGTCTTTTGTTTCCAAGTTAAAAACTAATTTACTCTTGTTTTAAGTTCATCTTGATACTTTGTAAGTATCAACTTTGTGTGTCAACAATGTGTATCTTTCATTCTTCTTATTCGGAGAATAAGAAGAATTATTCTTATTCTTACACACATAAAACTGATAGATAAAAAAGTGAAAAGCTCATCCTCTGTGACCTTTAGGTTTTTTATTTTTGTAAATTATTATTTGTTGAGCCCTAATTTGTATGCAGTACTTGCCTTTTTCATTTTTTAATGTGTTAGTTTCTCTGGGAATGTTGCCCTGAGCATATTAATGCATAATTCAATGTTTCCTCTACCACTTCTTGTATCAAGCTAAATAACTTAAAATGACTTGGCATGGTCTAGTTTAATCTTCAGACTTCCTACAGAAGGTCAGAGAGAATTCAGAGCAAGGGCAAGGAATGCGGGTTTCCAGCAATTTTTTGATCTACTATTAATAATTTTGATCAAAATTCTGTAGGATTTTTGGTGGTCATCTTCAATAGGCCAAGCTCCTCATGCTATTTACCCCCAGCCCATACAAACCTCACAGAACCATGGGATTTCTTTAGTAATAGTTGAGTATTTTTCTGCTTATAGATGTGCTGTTGAAGCGTTTTAGCCATTTCTGAACAAAAACATGCCATGGGGAAATGTTATGACACAGTAAAATTTCTCATTCTGTGATGAAAATATTGGAAATGTAAAAAATAGCTGCATTTAGGATTTCTTCAGTATCAGACCCTAATCTCATCCCACTTGTTTCCCATGCAACTACTGTCCTAATTTTCTGTTTTTTGGTTCTCCTGTTTTTGTGTGTTTTTTTTTTTTTTTTTTTTCCATGAAAAATCAGTAGTGTTAATAGGTATTTGGAAAAATGTGATAGTTCACAATAACTGTTTTTATTTAGATGTATATATAAAAAATTAGGCAATTTTATAAATCACCTTTCATCTGTGCATTCCCTTCCTTTTGCTCTAGGTTTTAAGTTTATTACATGTTGTCACTAAACCTAATTTTTTTTTTAGGTCTGCTGAGCCTGTTCCTTGCTTCTGCGATGTCACTACTGACACCAGTGAGTAAATTTGAGAAGGAAAATACTATTAAATACTTATTACTGTCTGAAAGATGGTGTAGTTTAAGATTTTTTTGTATTTCTCAACCAAGTAGGCTTAAGCAAGTTATTAAGGAGAAGAAGATTCAATTAAAAAGAGAGTTATCAGAAGATATATCTTTTCTGTCCTCTCCAATTTCACCAACATCAGATCTCATACAAAGATAGTATTTACCATGTTTTTGGTATTTTAACTTACAGATATAAAAAATATATGTAGAGAAATACATAATGAATAGTAAGTCCAGCTAAGCAATTACTTTTACAATTTTTGTGATATTGCTCTTCAGGTGTAATAAGTAGTCAAAATGAACCTAAAGGTTTCCATTTAAAATGACATCATACTATTTTTTTTTTCCCTTTTAATGGTAACAAAATTGTTACCACTCAAGGAAAATTCCTTGAGGAAAAAAAAAATAATATTTTCTAAACAGTAAAATATGAGTAACCAGCACAATTTGTTTGAACTCACATATGGTTATACTTCAGTTGTGTAAGTGCTTACCACTTACTCAGCTTTGAAAGTGTGGTTCCAGTTTCATACCAATAAAACTGATTATTGCCCACTGATGATTTTTAAAGGGGACACAAGTCAGTTCAATTCATTTTGTTCTCTTCTCACTGCAATGTGGATTTCACCATTTTGTTCCCTTTACACCTGAAATGTGGGTGTTAATATGATTCTTTGGCAACTGGTGTAGCTAGCTAAAAACAATCTGCCTGTTCACATTGGAATTGCTGAAGTTATAAAAATCAAATGTGCATGGCAGTCTGAAAATAGTTAAGTAGACTGTATGTTGAAGTGCTTAATAGTAGAGGCAAGAATAAAGTGGTCTTTCAGGTAAGTCAGTGGTGTTCTTGCAGCTGCCTTCATTGTGGTGGAATTAGACCTTTCATTTTAGAAAATATGATGAATTAGAGAACGTATCTGCATTGGGTGTTCTTGAAAAATGCTTGCCTGTTTTTCACCCTGGAGATGTTTGTTAAAGCTGTCAGATTCTGCCATAACCTCTCAACAATGACCGGAGTCTACCATTTGTATTGCATTCATATAGCAGTAGAGGTTTGGATGTCTCCAAGTTGCCGCATCTTTTAGATGCCCATCTTAAACACACTGTGTGCTGTGAGACTATTCTCTTAGCTCTCAGCTAACCTGGGTTCTGCCACGCTCTGTCCCTGCTTTGGTAGTTCTGCTGGTGCTTCTGTGCTGTTTGCACATCTGAAAGGCGACTGAATTTCAGATCTTGAATTCAATTTTGATTGCTCCTACTGAGGAGAGGAGAATTTACGAGTTGTACTGAGATTTCATGGCCTTAGGTGTTTGTGCTACATCTTAGAAAAATAATATTTGCAACTTTGTTATCATGCTTTTTCCAGAACAGGCTAGAGAGAAGCTGTAGTTGAATGTCACCAAGAATGAAAAAATACATTACAATGTTGTTTTCTCTCCTCCCTCCCTATTTCATTCATTCCACCTTTGATCTTTTGGGGGTTTTTGTTTTTTGCTTTTGGGAGGAGGAAGGTTACAAATAATTTTGTTTTCATTATGAAATTACAGGACAAAACTTTAATTATACAGTTTGTACAGAAAGCAATTAAGATACCAAATGTTTTTCTCTTTCTAGCTGAATAGTTATGTCTTGTCTGAAGAAACACCAGTTGCAGTGTGTATTTGTGTAGGAGGTTAAATCTTGTGTCAGTGGTTTGTAATTGACAGTTACAATATGTTCCTGCATCAGTTCCAGTGTCATTTAAAAAAAAAAAAAAAGATTTTGCTGTAAATCTCTCAGTAGGTTGGGGTGCATTTTCAACCTCCACAAATGCAGTCTACCAGGTCCCAATATTTTGCATTCAAGTGTCTTAAAGCATCTCAGAAAAACAGTAACGATTAGTTCCTAGGATGTTTATTATAAATGGATTAAAAATATTTAACTTATTCTGATATAAACTAACTCCAGTAGGAAACCTGAGGTCAAACCATATAGATTCCAGAGGACAAATACTTTAAAAGCCTAAGTCAAATTAAGAGCTGGAAGTTGCATAGGCTCCTGCAAGATTGTTGTGAGGTGTTTGCAATTTTACGGAAGCTCATTGGTAAAGAGAGACCCTGATTCCTCTGAAGCAAAAGTATCCTGTGTCATGCATGCATTAGTTCTTGTTAATACTGTGGAAAGTTTCACAGCTGTAAATGGAGAGTAAAAATAAGAGAAAAAAAAGGTCGCACATCTGAACTCTTCTCACATGAAAATAAATCATACTGCTGCTAGTAAGCATCTTTAATACTGCAAGTTCTGACCTGATTGTTCTGGCATTAAAATGTAGGAGAGGATCAAAACTGGGAATTGTAATTCTCTCTCTCTTTTTTTTTTTTTTTTAATGGAAATCTCTCCTCTGTATGAACAGTTATTCCTGTTGAACCTTGTTACAGAGTTTGCAGGTGGTATTTACGTAGTATTGCGGGGCTAACTCCACATCACTAATTGTGCTGAACTTACTTAACTTTGTCATGGCTTCTAATAGGGCAAAGGCATCAAGAGTCGTGACATTCTAGTGGGACAAATGCAAGGGTGAATGAAGAGACTGAATAAAATTCATGGGAACTAAATTAAAACCTGTATAAAATGACATTAGGAAAACCTGGAAGGTTTTGTCTTCTGTCTTTACTCTTTTGTGTTTTGGTATCTACTTCTGGGCTGTGGAGAGATGCGTGTGTCAGATGAACTCCATAGAACTGATTGATATATTTTTTTCCACCTTTGAAGGTCTATTTTATTTTTGTTATAGCTAAGGATCCTCATAGTTGTGGTGCAGTGTAGTCCAGATAAAATTTCCAAGAAGTACATTGTTATCATGAGCCAAAGTGTCATTGTCTAGGAATAGTTATAGTTACTATCGCTGTTTAGGACTGCGAGAGAAAGCTGGAGTCAAGAGGAACGTGTTTGGGCAGAAGCATGCTTTCCTGTATAATGAATTAAAATTTCTACTCTGGCACCCTATACTAAGTTATACCTTTTATAATTATCTGTAATACGCAAGGTGAGGTCAAGACTTTCAGCTTCCTATAACATCTAGGCTGAATTATCCAAAATTCATTTGTCATCTAAATGAGAACAAGAACAGCTTTTCAAGGAACTAGACAACAAACCAAGTCAAAACATTGTTCTTGTAACCTCTTGGTGAGAAATGGAACCAACTAAAAGCAGTAGTTTATACTCTTTGTGGGAAAATCGTGATATTTGTCATGTAGGTACAATTTTTTTTAATGCATAGACATTCCAAATTACAGTTGTTTCATACAAAAGAGGAGGATTATTTAAGATGGTGTAAATCACTGACTTCTGAATAGAACATTTTTCTTCTGGTTTGACAGTAAATCAAGAACAATAGGGATGTTTGTCTTTAACTTGCTCTGTAAAACAGCATTTGTCTCAACAAGTTTGTCAGGCAGTGTCTGTTGATTCATGACTTCAGACAAGTAGTGGAAGGAACAATTACCATTCTCTAAAGAAAACAAACATATACATAGGTATGTGGCAATTTTGCTGGGAATCACGCATCAGGCAAGTTAATATAGAAACCAAAATAGGAAATAAAACATAGAAATCCCCGAAGCTTAAGCCAGGAATTCAGAAAAGATTAAGTTGAGGTTGTTCACAGGAAAGCATAACACATCCGACTTCTGAGTGGTTAACAAGTACAGTAATATGAAGAATAGATGTCGCTGTAGCACTTTTATTTTTTGATTGTGATTGTCATTCCATTGTTCCTTTATGGTGTTTGTGTAGGAGATGAAAAGAAAATGAAGATGAGATTTCCTCAGGACGTGGCTTCTTTCTTTGTCTTGTTTTGGTTTTTTGCTTTGATACTGTATATGATAGAGCTTTGCTGTTTGTGATTGATGGAGAAAAAGATTAGTGAGTCAGAAGTGGTGGAAAGATTGAGAATGTTCTGGTTGGAGGCTGTGCAGTCCTTCTAAAAGGAATACGAGAAGAAAAATCCTGTCCTCTTTGAGGTCAATGACAAATTTACCTCTGACTTCATTAGGATAAGGATAGCTCTTCATTGTAGATGAAGAGCTAAGGAAGATAGAGGCAAGAGAGTCAGAGATCTTATGTGTCCAGAGGGAATGAAAGGTTTTAAGAGAAATAATCTTCACAAGGCTGATGCTTATTTCTATTAAGAGATAATAGGAAGCACTTGAGTACCACAAGATTTCTGGTTTTTCAATAGGAAAACTGTAACCAGAATGTATTATTTTTTCTTTCAGTGTATAGTGCTTAAAAACAATAGTGAACAACCAAGGAACTGGTGAAAAAAAGAATCAAAGCAAGAAAACTTGAGCTTTGTAGTACACAGTTCAATTTCAATTCTTGTAACCTTCATTTGGAAGGCAAGCAAGGAATAAATCTAGACATGGCAAGTATAAATGTGAGACAGTTTCTTCAGATTTCACCTCAAAAAAAAAAAAAAAAAAGATTTATTTATCAATACTTAGAGTTGATAAGAGTGAGTGACATTAATTATGTTGAGTGTTAGTTTTAAGTGATAGTTTCTGGAATCAGTTCTACCTTAGAATAACCTGGTAGCAAGTCAGAATTTCTATTTATAAAAAAACTTCTGGATGTTCCCCATTGGAAATATTCCAAAATAATTTAAAGTAAACATAAATGATTCAGAAAACTCCTCAGCTTGCTTTCTTAATGTTATCAAGTGGAGGTGATAAAGGTATGCTGATTTAGGAGCATTTTCTTTTGGCAGCATGCCACTTACTACCTTAAATTTTTTCAGTTGCTGACCTTACAGAAGAAACTCTTTTCTGAAAGGGTACTGAGAACAATTACTGAAATTCAGTTATGTTCCCTTTGCCTACTGCCAAATGGGAATATATACTTAAATCATGTGTGGACTGAGAGTTTTTTTTTCTGATTAGTCAAAGTTTGTGGTTTGATTTTGCTTTCCATTTATCAGTATTTTTACATTACACTAGCTTGTCATATTATTGAATGCTTCCTCTAAGGCTTTTCCTTAAGATTAAGTACATTTTAATCTTTTCTACAGCTCTGATTTATTCTTCAATCTATCTGAACCATTGCAAAATAGAGGGTTTCATGGGGAATAATTATATTTCATCATGAATCAATTCTTATTATTTATTTATATTTGTCCACAATTGAAAAAAAAAAATACCCTTGCTTGTCAGAAGGAGTGTGTATGTGGCTTCTGTAGTGCATAACATGCAACCAAAATAAAATTGAAATACCATTTTTATTTACTGCAATATTAGCCAACATGCACTGGCATAGTTACCTTCTCAGTTTAAAAAACGTGTCTTCATGTTTTATTGAGAAAACATGGAAATCAATTTGGTATTCATGGCATGCAGTAACATGGATTGTTTTTCTTGGATAGTAAAGCTACTGAAGCTTGTAAACCAATAGTGAGAAGTTTTATTTACTGGTGTTTATTAATTCTTGTGCTATTTATCCCCTCATATGTAGCTCAGGAAGAACAACAATAACTTGAGTGCACCAATTTTCCAAGCTACTGAGCCATATTACATTTGCTTGTCTAAACATAAAGCTATAAAGCATAAAAAGCTATTTAAGAAATTTCTGCATTTAATTGCCATCTTAAAATCTTGTAACCATTGAGAAGTGTACCATCTCTTCAAATAAAAAAAAAAAAAAAATCAAGCAATTTTTCTGTGACTGTTCTTTGGTCGTAAAGGACAGGATCCAAAAGGCATAAACTTTTATAAATGACTGTTTCTAAGAACAATTAGTAGAAAACCTTAAGAACTTTCTTCAGATTAACATAAAACTTTGTTTTGTTGACATAAATAAGATTGTAGAAAGTCAAACACTCTGGAAGTTTCAGAAAAATGTGCTGATCAGTGAACCTATCAAGAAAGGATTTACCTAAATGCTATTCTCTCAATATGATAGTAGTAAACGTCTTGCTTATAGGGTGGCTATTTTTTTCGTAAGTAATATCACTCCATATATAATGATAATTAACTGTTAGAAAACCTCATGTACCCTCTAAAATTTGGATAAAGATTCAGACCTCAACTGTTCATGTTACATTACCTATTTTAGACAGGAACATACAGGAAGACCTTGTTCAGCTTCTAATTGTTTCTATAAAACACACAAAAAAATTTCTGTATCTGCATAATAAATTTAGAGCCACTTCAGAGCCAATTTCCTCCCGTTTCTGAGATTTATGTGAACATTCATGAGGTGTAAGAATTGCTGTGAGGTATCCTAGGATGCTCCAAAAACCCTGGACCCCATTTTACTTAGGCTTGGCTATTGTGCAACCACTGAAATGGTTTTATGGAACTCTGCAGGGGAATTGTAGACACTGGGCTATCCAAATGAATGAGCTGTGCACATCTGAATCAGAGCTTGTGTTATTTGTGAATGTATCTTTGTGGGTCAGAAAATCTCTTATTTTTTTATTACTTTTTTTTTTTAAATGAAAATTTAAATTCTTCTTAAAGATTCTGGAGATGAGAAAGAGGGAGGCGAGATAGAATCTGTGACAGAAAAATGGATAAAACTATTGTAGGAATTGGGCTAAGTAAAAAGTGTGCTTTTATACAAACGTCTTTTAGATAATCAACATATGACTTGTGAAAGTATAAAGAGGAAATATTGGGAGAACATTTCCCTGTTATTTTGCTATGGAATAAAATGCTGGATTCCTCCTAGAGATCCACCCTTCTTTAAAAGTATTTCCTTATCTCTTGGAAGGTTTTCATTTTAGTTACTATTCTGTCTTTTCTATTTGTCCTTGTCATTAATTTATAAAATATGAGAAAATCTTCTTGCATACGCTCATAACGGTGTGATAATTTAGTCTTTTTCCCTGACAGTCTCCTACCTGTCAAGCTTTTCTAGAGTGGATTACTCCTGATTGCTGCTTTGGATATTTTTCAAAAACTAATTGGATTCTGAATAGGTCACATGTATTCCCACTATTGTACAGAAGATACACAGGTTACAAACAGCTTGAAAAATATTTGTCAGCTTATTTTCCTGACATAGACATACATTATTTATATACTGTTTTCGCTTTACAAGTTCACTCCAAAAAAGACTATCTTTTAGTAAGCCATATTTTGTGATATGGTTTGGGTTTGTGCTGCTCCCCTTTCCAGTTAGTGCGAAGGTAATAAAGTAACCCTTAAAGTCAGATTAGTTTTCTGTTTTCATGAGATTTGTAGGTGCTTATGGCAGGTTTGATCAAACTGGCTAATAAGTTCAGAAGTAGTTCACAGGTATGCCTAAATGTGTCTTTCTTCCACACCAGAGGGCCTGAAAATTTATACCCTAAATGCAGCCTTGGAGAAAGCTACAGGAGACTAGAAAATGCTAGAAATATATTCATCTCAATAAAAAATTCAGGAGTAAAATAGTTTTATTGTACTGTACAAGATGATACTAGTAAGTCTAAAACCTACAAAGCACAAAAAAAAAAATTCACTGACATAAATATTCTCAGTTAGCTTAATAGAGCAGTGTTTGCTGTATATTTGAAATTCATGAAGCTTTCATTTTATGGTTATCTGCATGTATTGGAAGTAATTTAGCTGAATGAAAATTCATTTTCAGTAATTAATTGTCAAATTATTCTGCTTTCAGTTGCATTTCCATCCTTTCTGTTCTGAGGGAGAGAAATACAGCTTCTCCTTTAGCACTGAAGACGAGTATAAAGATAAGCAAGGGTTCATTAACTCCTGTTTACATTTCAGAAACAGTTTTAAAGTGAAAGAACTATTGAGATACAGATTTAAAAAAAGCAGCACAGTTTTCTTCTAGTGGAGCAGCTATTTGCAAATCTATCCTCTAACTCTTGCTACAATTAAATGCAAATCTCTACTACGTGAACATATTGAATCCAGGTGTTAGCTCAGTCCTTCCTCTCTTCTGGGTCATACAAGGTTCCCTTTGTTGTTTGAACTTGTACAGCAGTTGTCATCAAACTCCTGATGATTTCAGAGGCCAGTCATTACTCAGACCAAACTATTTTATATTTGCCCAGAAATACAGCTAAGTGGTAGCATCACTGTGTTATAACATACTGTATTTGTATTTGTAAGAGGTTCAGCACAGCAAAGTGCAAGGTTTTGCACTTGGGCCGGAACAATCCCAGGCATCCATACAGACTGGAAGGAGCGGTCCTTGAGGGCAGTCCTGCGGAGAAGGACCTGGGGGTCTTGATGGATGAAAATCTTAACATGAGCCAGCAGTGTGCCCTTGCAGCTTGGAAAGCCAATAGTATCTGGGCTCCATCAAAAGAGGGGTGGCCAGCAGGGACAGGGAGGTGCTTATCCCCCTCTGCTCTGCTCTTGTGGGGCCCCATCTAGAGTACTGTGTCCAGGTGTGGAGCCCCCAGTACAAGAAAGACAGGGAGCTGTTGGAGAGGGTCCAGAGGAGGGCCACAAAGATGATCAGGGGACTGGAGCACCTCCACTGTGAAGACAGGCTGAGGGACTGGGCTTGTTCAGCCTGGAGAAAAGAAGGCTGCGGGGTGACCTCATTGCAGCATTTCAATACCTAAAGGAAGCCTACAGAGGGGAGGGGAATCAACTCTTTGGAAGGGTTGATAACGGCAGGACAAGGGGAAATGGTTTTAATTTGAGGGAGGGAAGATTTAGGTTGGATGTCAGGGGGAAGTTCTTTACAGAGAGAGTGGTGAGGTACTGGAACAGGCTGCCCGGAGAGGTTGTGGATGCTTCGTCCCTGGAGGTGTTCAAGGCCAGATTGGATGGGGCCCTGGGCAGCCTGGGTTAGCATTAAATGGGGTGGTTGGTGGCCCTGCATGTGGTGGGGAGTTGGAGATTCATGGTCCTTGAGGTCCCTTCCAACCCTGGCCACTCTGTAATTCTGTGATACTAGAAAAATTTATACGACTGCTTTCTGTTGTAACAACAAATAAAACCACTTTGCAATAGCATGTTCTTCACTTGATGTAGAACTTCTGATTTCCTTTTAAAAGCCCATAATACACCTTCAGGTACTTCTGAATGAAGTATTGGGGTGTATTTCATTCAGTATGGGGTGGATTTTAGAAACATTAATATAATAAAAAACAAAGTCACTGACATAATACGCATATTTCGTTATTTTGTGGCAGCAGATGAAATGGCCTCACTGTGTGTTTTTCTCTGAACATCACAAATTTATTAAACTACCATGGGACAAACTGTGCATCTTTCTGTGATATCCAAGAAGAAATCCCCAAGACTGTCCTTTGCCACCTCACTTCAGGACCTTGTTCAGAATTTAACATCTGTGGTTTTGCTAGAACTTCCTCTATAGCTTTTGGGGGTGGTGCTGGTGCTATCAGATGTAATATTTCAGCTAATCATCTTGTGAGTACATATCTGCTTTACCTTTTTTTATCTACCATAATCTAGCAGCATTTCTGATTCAGCAGAAGTGGAAATATCTTACAAGTTTGGTGTGATATTTGTGCAGTGTACCTGGATCTTCAATTAGACCTTCCATATAATTAACAGTATTATATTAGCATAGACTACAGCTAGGAGGAATCATTTTCCTTATGCACTAAAGCATTACATAGGTACAGTATGACTAGGAAAAGAAATTCTTTTCATTGTTTAGTTCCAAATAGCCACAGATTTGTGGCACCTTACTATACCTAATGTCATTGAAAGGAGACCTTTAGAATAAACTAGCATTACAATAAAGTAGAGAAAGCATAGCAATGTATCATAGAGAGTGCAAGTAAACCTTCTTGTGTTTTTTTTTTTCAGAATTACCTGCCTCTCTCTAGCTCCCCCCATGGATATCTAAAGCTGATAAATGTGAGAACACATGAACAATATTCTCGGTATTTCTATCTGAAGTAGGCTGTTCCATATCTGACAGTGTTTTTTCATTTCCTAAGAATATTTTGGGGGAAAAAAAAAAAAAAAAAAGGTTTTATTTGGTTTTCTGATCAGCAGAGAAGTTAAAACAGGAAATATACGGGATTTAAGGTTTTATAACATGATAATAAACCTCTTACTGCTTTAGTGCATTTCTTGTAACCTTTTTGCAGATTTGGTTAGTGTTTTAAGCCTTTGACTTTCAAAATATTTTTGTTATTAAAATTCAGTAAGCAAATGTCATTAAACTCTTGCTTTTGGATAGTATATTCTTACACGCTGCTTAATGGAAAACTAGGAGTAGAATTTTCCTGCTAAGTTTGGGAAGATGTTCGTTAATAATACCAATCAAGAACTTTTATGAGTATTATCATAAGAAGTTTTCTCTTTGTACACAATCTTTCTTTTTTTTTTTTTTGTTTAGTTGTTTTTTTTCTGTTTAAAAAATGTCAGTGGATAGTTTTTTTTTTTTCCATCAGAAGTGCATCACAGTTCTTCAAAACATGTAATTTCAGAGTTTTATTTAAAAATAACCACCACAATATTTTAAGAGGGCTGAAAGCTTTTGTTCCTTTTCAAACTGTTTACAGTTGCATATCACAGCTGTTAAAAAACCTCATTATTGAAATGGAAATATCTTGTCAGCTCAGGGAGTCGAACAGCTAGAGATAGTCAATGAGGTTTTTAGCCTGGAGTTTTACTCTAGATTCTTAAATATTGCCAAGACGCAGCCAAGGACACCCATTGCTCTCCCCTATCAGTCACTTGGGAGTAGTCAGAATGCCGAGTGGAACAGGCTGTAACAAGGTGAGGTGCTGATATGGGCTGCCCGTTCATTTTAAGGTCAGGTTCAGTGACAACACAGTGAGAGTCAGTCAACAGTAAAATATTGTCTAGTTTTGAAGAGGGCTCTTGTGTTTGTTTTTGTTTGTGACTGCAAATCACAGTTTGAACCTTTTTGCATTGAGAAAAGCAAAGATTTTGTCACTTGAAGATAATTTCAAAGGGAAGCAGAAACTGTAGGTTGTGTCAGCCAATAATTGAATTATCAGGCACAGCACATAACATCAAATAGCAGACGTAAGCAACCCTTACTTCAGAGTCTCTCATTACAATAAAACCAGTTTGAAAATTCCTATTCCTTTTGAAAGAGTAGCAGGTTTTGCTGCCACCTATGACAGGTCCCTTCTTCCTGAGGCAGAAAGCTTCAAAATGAGACCAAAGCTGTGAGAAGTAGATAAGTTCTGGATAGCAACTGGGTCTCATTCACACAGGAAAGAAAAATGTTGTAAATAGGCAGACTAAAAGAATAATCTGCTACTTAGCCAAAGACTGAAGTCCTTGAAGAGAATAAAGGAAGTACCATATTTCTAGCTATCTAACTTTGTCCATCTCCAGTGGTAGTTTACTCAAAAACTCCACATAAATTCTGTGAGTAAACATTCTTCTGCAAGAGTTATGTGTTCAAGATATTTAAGAGAGATGCTTCGGTATCTGTGGGAATTATTATGTTTTTGACCTCAGCTGTGCCAGGCACAGCACATTCTGCACTGCCGGAGAATCAACACCTTGCAGTATCAGACTCCATGGTGATATGCCTTTATATCTTGGCAAAACTTCTTACTAAGCACGACCAGGCAGTGGTACACCACACATCACAGTTGTCAGCCAGTCAGCATGTGCTGACCACAGGGACTAAACAGTGGCTGGTTGAACATTTCTGCTTTAAAACCATGCGGTTCCCAATGCCTTAGCAAAAGGATAATTTCAGTAACGTGTAGTATGAGAGCTCCCTGCTATCTTGTATTTGGAGTGCATCTTATTTTTTCATGTGAGCTGATCTAGAGTATGCCATATAGACTAAAAAATTCCTTATTCATAGACTAGTTCTTGTCATTTCAGACAAGAGAGGACGTTACAGGATATCAATATCTAGTATTGCGTCTACCACTTCTAATCAAGGCAATGTAATTGTTCTTGAACAAGTTAAGGAAGTACCATTACCATATTCTCCTTCTTGAATTAACAATTCAACAATTTTTTCAGCATTTTTCCTAATGAAAATGTTGTCATTTTTATGTTCTCCTACAAACTAAGAATGTTTAATTATTTCTGAAGATCTCCCTCTTTTACAATAAAATATTTTTCAAAACTTAAGATATGTAAAATGGCTGTAGCTGCCATTTAACTGCCATTGGCATGCTGCCTGTGCACTGAGTATTATTGCTTTATTAGTAGGTCTGCTAATACAAGTAATGTGGATCAGGTAGCTTTCTGAACTTTTATTTATTTGCTTTAATAACAGCTAATACTAAATTTCACTGGAGGAATTTAAAAAAAAAAAAAGTCAAGTCATGATGATTAATTAACTTTACTGTGCTAATAACGCTGAAGTCTTTAAAATGTTCTGTATATTTGAAAGTTTTATGCAGAGTTCTACAGAACGTTTGCTTAGAGCCATTCATACTCTTCTGCAGAGCGCACGCACTAACTTCTTGAGACAAACTTTTGCTTGTTTTGAAGCTGCCTGTGTTCTCAAATAAATATTTATACTGGCAGTTACCCTGTTTGTTTACCAGTCATTCACAGATTGAACTGCATTTGGAAAAATAATTGCCTTGTATAAAGATGTTGTTTATTCTTTGACTGCATGTTTTTGCATTGCCCTTGTAGATGGCATTTCTAAAAACAATTCCAGATGGAAGATATTCCTGTATTCTCCAGTTGCTTTAAAAATAGATGCCTCTTTGTGATTCACAGGGATCTCTGTGCACCTCTGAGTTGACCTGAGCTATAAACACGTTATAAATAAAGTATGCTGAAACAGTAGATATACATTTTTTTGCCAATTGTCTTACTGGTTTGCTTTTCTCTCCTGTGAGACATTAGAAGTAAATAAATCCTATCTAGAATTAGATAATTTTTAGAAAAGAGCATCTTAAGGGGCTTTGTGTGTGTTTTTTTAATTTGTTTACAAAAAAGCTGTAATCAGAATAAATTCATGAATCAGTTCGCAGTTGTCAAGCTACAAATCTTCGTTTAATGTACTGGAAGACTTGATTCTGTGCTTTAAGATGAAATAGCCTTTTATACACAGAAGCACGTCTTGTTCAAATCTGCAAATACTGTAGCATGGAAATATAAGCTTTTACATGGTGACAGACGATGGAAAAGCACTCCAACCTGAAGGCTATAGTAGATCAGGAGTCCTCCTGTTAGTGTTTCCTGCACTCTGAGCTGCTAGATGCAAAATACCCTGTTCTTAATTGGTTGTGCCCTTGAGAGTTCAAATGACAAGAGAGCACCTTGATATGGCTTATCTCTTGGTTGATGTGAGAAGAATCATTTTGACACATTTCCCACGTAGCTTCTAATCATGCTGTAAAATCTTTGGCTTTATCAAGCAAAGTGATCATCCATTATAACATCATCACTTGCTGATGATTTCCTTGAGTTTCCTGTTAAAAATGAGGTGTTCAGAGAGTCAGCTTTGGCATGCAGGCTCAAAGATGATTACTGTAAGGAATAATTTTTTAAGCTGGATATCCTGTTCTTATCAAGGCTATACCATCAGACTTGTCTTTTTGGTTCTTCAAATGCTAGATAACCTTTGTGTGTTTCCTAAACAGTTACTCATTAGAAATGTCTGTTACTTTCCAAAATGTTTAGTGCTTCTTAGTTCTTAAACATTTCTGAAGTATTTAAGTATCTCAGAACTTTTAATGGACAGTGTCATAAAACGTGGCCTCTTTCTCAGTGGAAGATAAACAAACCAGTCTATTGCCCAACTAATTAAAACAAATCTGTAAGCTGCTGACAGTTTTCAACTTCTCTGCTAGAATAAAGGAAATCTGAAAGGGCATCTAATAATAAAATTAACCAAACTCCTCCTTGCTTTAGAAGCCATGTTGTTAATAGAGTTACAGCTGGGTGAATTCTCAAGTTGACTGAAGCTGAGAAATGCTAAGTTAAAACTTGTGTAGGCCTCATTTAATGTTAAAGTGTGGCATTTGTGAAGCAACAGTGTGAAATACGATCTGTACCTTTCAACAGAACTGAATGAAAGAGAAGCAGAATAATAGGTTATGATTTGTATGAGCACTCTCGGATTGGTTTTGCTGTACAACTACTGCAGCCATAGAAGCTTCTCTCTTCTCTTTTCTGAGGCTACAGGCTTAGCAGACTTGATGAGGACTCATTTCTCTAATAAAGCTTTTCAGAATTTTGCTGTATGGTCATCATATAGGAAAAGTTGCTACCTACAGAAACTGCTGGGAGAAGGAAAGGTCAGACTGAGTACATTTTTGAGATAAAGGAAACGTAAGTTTCCTAAGAAATAACACCAAGAAGCAAGTTGCTTTATAAAACAGCAGGAGGGGAAAGTAAGAGTTTAGATATTAGTTTTCATATGAGATCTGCTTTCTTGGTTATCGTTAGGTAAGGAAGGGAAGATTATTTGGGGGAAAACAGATCTCACACTGCAGACGATATACATTAAAATGTATAACATTCAGTTATAAAGCATTTCATTACTCTATTCTGGGGCCTGATTTATGCTACATCTTCAGGCAATAGTTTTTGATATAATTTCTAGGGTTTACAAAGTAATATAATGTTTTCTAAATGTTTTCAAAACATAAAATACCTGGTAATGTGACCAAATAATTTACAGAGGATATGGATTGGTGTGTTTTTTATTTTTTTTTCCAAAAAGAATTTCTGTAGTTCTAACTATTGAAAAAGTTTAATGAGGGCTTGCTGTTTGAGTTCTGAACTTTTTCCACTTTTATAAACATTCTGATTTGCAAATGCAAAATTCCAGCATTATCAAGATGGTATAATTTTGCCTGCCAAAGTTTGATTTTGTCTGAAGAGCTTCTTTATTTTAAACATGAAGAGCTTGTCAGAAAACTAGGCACTTCGCACAGTCCCAAACATCACAAAGATTTAAGAGGTGGTGTTAGCTTTGTAAACATCCACTGCTTTATGTACACCTTGTTTTGCCCCATGCCCTGCCATAAAAGAAAGATACATGCAGTGTTACTTCCAAAGGAAGAAATATTTTTTCCCTTATCTTTCCAAGCCTGTAAAAGCAACCCCGGGGATATTTTAAAGAAGATTATAGCATGTCCCACTGCAGACTTCAAATGTAGTTAACAGATGGTGCGCTATCTGTTACAGTGGAATTGCTGTACCATTTGGGCGTCATTCAGTGGATCACTTTCATGGACAGAGTAGGTACTAAAGGGCATCTCTGTGTGTGTACTCAGATCATTGGAATAACTTCCTATGGCTGTTAAGAGAAAGAAACTTATCAACAC